TTTTTCCCCTTTGCAGTTTTTCCTTGTAGTTTTTTGGTCTAGTTTGGAGGTTTTTGTTGGTTTGGGTTTTTTTCCCCTAGCAATTTTTCCAGTTATACATATTAGTTATTATGACCCTTCTATATGCTTTTCTTGAACATATGCTATTGCTACATATTATTTTAATTTACCAATGTTTCTTTGCTGTCAGGACGTACACAAAGTACCAAGAAATGTTTGATACCTGACTGTCCATTCTTGGTCTTGTTTCCTTCTCTCTTCCACACAGACTGATAGAGCAGTTTGAGTTGGAAGGGGACGTTTTAAACCCAATCTAGTACATGTACACGTCACGCAAGAATTTCTTCCTAAATTATTCTGTAGGTCAAGGAAGATAAATTGTAATAAATTTCATGCAGTTTCTTCAAAAATGAGGTCCACATGGTGAAGACAAAAAATACAATTAGCAAAAAAAAGTAACTACTTTCACATGAATTTTAAATAAACTAGAATTACTTTTTTACTTGCCAAGAACACACTACTGAACAAAATGTACTTCAGAGACGTATGGTGAGTTAAAAATTCCACTTTGAAATGAGCCTTACAATATTTCAAAACTACTTTTGACGTGGACATTAGTTTTTCCTTTGAATTTAGCTTTTGTAATGGAAAAGCAGTCTCTGAATGAATGCATCTGCTGTTCTAAAAAAATAAGGTTGTAGAATCAGAATTACAAGTAATATACAGTCAACAGTCAATACCTTAATTGTCTTAGAAAATGAAGGTAATCTACCTTAACATTTTAGAATACTTTAGGATAACTATATTTATATCAAGCTTTCTGAATTAAACAAAGCATGTTTGGTATGATTTCAAGTGTATCTAATATTTGAATGTATCCCAGCAGACTAACAGCAGGAGTATTTTTCAAGTTATAAAAACTGTTAAGAATATTACATATCTAAATTACTCCTCCAAAATATTTTGCCAGCACCAACATCCCAGTAGAATTAAATTTGATAAAATTATACAAATTTTAGAGTAATATGCAGTCATTTCCCCATGTGTGTCACATGTAGGTTTACTGCATAAACAAGCTCAGACAAAGACATTCCATAAACTCTAATCTTTTGCTTGGTACTGGACAATTGACTACTGTATCAATTGAGAACAGATTGCATCCTCTCTATTTCACATTTACTTGAGTCTGTTTCTTCTATAATCAGGTAACAGCAAGAATTTCTCATTAGGATCAATCTTAAGTTTTTGAACCTTTACCTAAAGTAACTCCTATAAGACATACTACTGTCTTTCACCAAAAAGCTGACCATGAATCAATATAGTTATTACTGTTGAGAATGAGAGGAGATACTCAGCCTGTCCCAGAATTCAAAGCTTAAGGTAATTGCTTATTCCAGCAGAAGCTGTGGACTTGCAGCCATCATCCTTCCGTCAAAGAGTAGTAAAACCAAAGGCGATGCACATAATGAAACCTCCACTACAAGCTTCAAAGAATGCCACATTTTAACTCACTACATTATAAAAACACGACCAAAAGCAGAATAGTGGAATAATTCCATTGCAAACTGAACCAGTAAACTCAATAAAGCAGCATTACAGGCCAACCATTTCGGAACAATTACTTTAAAGCTGAGTATTTCCCCATCCCAGAAGAGCAAGGACAAAGGCATGTTATCTCCCAAAAGCCTACTCTTTGTACACAACTATCTAAACTTGTTGAATCTGAAAGCTGTGCAAACACATTGCAATCAGAGTTCCTACAACTGATAGAAAGTCTTTGTTTAAATAATCTACAAAATGTCAGTGTAATACAAATAACATAAAGTAGAGTTCTTAATGACACAACTTTTGTATTTACAGTATTCTCAACAGTGCTTAAATCTGCAACGGAGATACAAAGGGCATGTTTTTTCCTAGGCTGACAGCATGCTTAGTTTTCTCATTTACACCACATTGCAATAACATAAAGAGGGGTTTACCATTAATCCAGGTTTTACTACAAAGCATCTCGTTATTTCTCTGTCAAACACTGGCAATAGTGCCAAATGTCTGTCATCCAATTCAGGGGATTAAGTCTTCCTTTATAGTGCAATTCTTGTACAAATTTATAAAAATACAGATAAAGTTTCTTAGAGCTGGTCACAGTCTATATTTTGGCCTGAATTCATGCTGCAGAGGTTGAATATGACAGCTGCCAGGAAGCTGAGGGGAGAATACATCCTCCCCCTTTTCAGTCACCACATTTCTGTTGCCATAGTGATTAATCCTCAATTGAATGGCTGTCTTTGTACATTTCTTTTCAATAAAACTTTAAGTAAACTTAAGTTGAAAACATGCAGTTGACAGAAAAAAGACTTAACATATTCAACAGGTATAGTACAAGTTCTTGTGACTAATACTTTTCCATATATTAATAAGTGCAACTTGCTCTAACATGGAACATCATCAATTTTTCAAATTAGTTAGTTTGTCCTGTTCTCATCTTCTGTCTTTCTTTGTGAAACCTCCAAGCCTTCTCCAAAGACTTCCCCATGCTCACACAGCCCCCCCGTCCTGCCCCTCCACACCCTGGACTCCTACTGAAGAAATACTACACAAATTCAGCTGTATAAGAACTAGAGAAAGCCTATCCCAGACTTCTATACTGTGCAAAACATTTAACGTAAGCTGATTTTGCCAATTAACATAGAAATTAATTAGGAAATTCATTAGGAAATGCAGTCATTTAATTCAGAATAGACTAGAAACATTAGAATATATTTAAATCTTCCCTCTGGGAGTTTTCTCCTTCTTATGGTTGCTAAGAAAAGGTTTCACAAGTAGAAGTTTCAGTGCAAGTTACCAAAAATCCAAATATGTAAAAATCTTCTGCACTGAAATCAGGTTGCTTTGGAACCTGGAGCCCACCAATAAAATAAAACCTCTAAAAATACCCAGTAGACGACTAAGGCCTTACAGAGTTTGTTAACACTTCCTTTCTTTCCTCGAAATTAATGTCAGAATAATTCTGAGCAAAGTATCACCTTAATTACTCAAGACTGTTATTTCTCTCTGAAAGGCTGAAGTAAATGTACGTCTGCCCTGAAAATTACAGTCTGCCTTTGCAAGTCCACCATGTACAATCTACAAATTCATTACACACATTTGCTTTAAGAAGCTTTTGTTTTCCATACAATTCTTTCTGTGATTACACAAGATAGTTATTTCTGGTTTTCATCTTAACATATGTTCTTAACATATAGTGATGTGATAATAGACAGCAATCTTCATTTAATGAAAACACATTGTTTAAAAAGTTTATTAGCACAAGACTTGAATTTCAACTCAAGTGCAGAACACAGAGTGCTCAATGTCATCAAATCAGGCTAAACCAAACATAATCCCAGAAAAAAACCGAGATATTTATTCCAGTAGATTAATTTGCATTATAATCTTTCTCCTTCACCCTTGTATATAACAGAGTAGAAAACCCTTCCTATGAATAATCTTCAGTGAAGCAGCACATAAAGTATGTTTTGTTGTCATATAACAGCTCTCAGTAATCTTTACTGGAGTGGCCATGTGCCACAATTAATGACATGCATTTTCTACCTCAAGGTCTTTACTATAGCCTCATGTGATTCTCCCTGCATCATGGCATCACAAATAGAAATGAAACTCACATTTTAACACTCATGACTTCTTAGCAAAGATTATGAGTAGCATGAGATCTCAAACTGCACAGAGACACACCTGTCTACTTTCTGTGACACTTAGGTTCTGGGACATGCAACTAAAGTTTATAACTATAAAGGAAGATGAGATGTACTATTAACCTATTATATAGTATAATCCATATCTCCAAAATTTCTTCAGAAACAGCTGCCTACCACATTTTTGCATTGAACAGAAATCCCTGGCTTTGTTTTGATTACTGAGGCTCTAAACACCTCCAAGTATTGACACATCAGTCCCTTCTGCATAAGCAGCACTATCAGAAACATCATCTCTTTGAGGGAAGATTGCCATACTGTTCTGTGCTTCATCAAAAGAAGTGTGGCCACAGGTCAAGGCAGGTGATTCTTAGTGCAGAAAAAAGCCACAAATATGAGTGGAGGGATGGAACACCTCTCCTGTCAGGAAAGGCTGAGAGACTTCGAGTTATTTAGCCTGGCGAAGAGAAGACTCTGGAGAGAACTTCCTTTGTATGTTCTTCAGTACTTAACAGGGGTCTGTAAGAAAGATGGAAAAAGACTTTCCATCAGGGCCTGGTTTTGACCTAGACAAGACATAAGGAAGAAGGCTTTTTGACAGTGAAGACTGTAAAATACTGCAAGGTGGTTGTTCGAGAGGCAGTGGATGCCCCATCTCTGGAAACATTCAAGGTCAGGTTGGATATGGCTCTAAGCAACCTGATCTAGTTGGAGATGTCTCTGCTGATTGCAGGAGGGAGTCTGAACTAGATGAATTTTAAGGGTCATACTCTATAGATCTTACGTATTTTCTTCTCAAAATCTACAGCAATCCTATACTGACAGTGGTGGGCCATGGTCAGAATACAGATAATCTTCAAACAAAGGATAATAACATTCAATACAGGAACTATTAGTATTACAATATTTTTATTCTAATTCTAAGCATTTTAATTCTAAGCATTTAAGAGCTATCATGCCACGTCTGTCAAAATACTCCAGTTAATGTTACTCTTTTCACTCATCATGCTTGCAAAATAAACTATAAATGAATCTCCACTGCTGTAGATGATTATTTATGAAAATTCATTCTGTAACAACTTGACAATGTCTTTCTTCACTGAGAATGCTGCTTCAACTCACCTAACACCTAAAGCATCTTCTTCTATTTTTATGCAATCCCATGGACTTCTGTGATAAAAGAAACATGTTCCACAATGGATCACGTGATAAAACACCTTTCCACATATGCTTGCTGCTACTATTGTCATACACAGACTTTCTTTTATTCAGGTGCTGGACAGGATTTATTTTGGGTAATGATATTAAATCAAATGATGGTTTATTCTCTTGATTGTACAATTAATGCATAGTTTACACTGTTACATTTATTACTTCTGGATTTTATCTCACCTTTCACAGCTGCTAAGTTGTGAGAGAGGTATCATGATGTCTTGTTTATGTTTCTTGATGGCATACTTTATATTCTGGTTGCTGCTACCAAACTGTGTCTTTCAGAGTCATACACTACTTACAGAAATACAGACCAAACAAGCACTCAGTAGTATAAATGTGAACATTGTAGCTAAACTAGTCAGTTGGCAAAATTAATTTAAAAACCTTATATAGACAATGTGACTACACTCCCTGTCAGCTCTGGGGAAAGAAATGTAAAAGGCTCTGCAGTCTTGAATCCAGGATTGTTATGGAACCTGGAGAACGAAGAAAGCAAGAAAAAAATAGCAGTAAGATCTATTTCTCATAAAAAGAATCAAAGTTTTGTCTCCTTAACCCTTTAGAGGTACAAGGCAATAGCAGATTAAAATAATATGTTCTACCTGGTCAGAGAAAAGGTAGCTAGGAAGTACAAATATTAGGCCAGGTAAAATTAAGGATAGACTGATAATAGACATATCACTGGATAAAAAATAAGCTTAATTGAAACCTACAGTTTAAAAGGTTAATCAGAGATAACCAGAGCATTGTGTAGTAAGAACAAAAAATATGAAAGATGTACCTGAATTTATTCCAGATTTGTGTGTATTCCAAATGCAATTAAACAAGCTACAGACCTACACTGAGAACTACACTAGTGCCAACTGTGCACATTTAATACTGGCCTTCTAAACTCAAGGAAAGAAAATTTCACCAAGGTGAAATGTGATGTAAGAAAAAGTGTTCAAGTCTTACACTTTTATTTAATAACCAATTTAAATACAAACTTGTTAGTTACTTATGTTCTTAGGATGTTCTACAAACCTTCAGTTATTTTCTGAGGAGCAAGACTTGCTGCCTCCCATCCCTTCTAAGTTGGCTCTCAAGGATCTTCTTGCCATGCAACCACTCTCACTTTCAAAGAGACCTCACAGGTTTTGCAATCTGCTCCAGATTTAACCAGTTACTACAATTTAAGCTACCACATTAGTCTCCATGACTCAACAATAAATGAAGCACTATTAAACCTAATTGATACTTTTAGGTACTACAGGTAGACAATCAGGAAGAAGACATTGTTTTATAGCGTTTTCTAGCAACTTATTTTCTCTGTTACTCATACTCACATAATTTCCATAAATTGGCTACTGAAACTAAAGACCTTAACCTCGGTTCTAAAAGTTCAAAAGAAGTAATGAATCCAAAATGAGATTAGATGGCTAGTCAATAGCAAGGAGTCAACATGTCAATGTTCTTGTAAGGGGTATTTGCTATTATTTGCTTTAGCTTATTATAATATTGCTTATTATCCCTGTCATTCCAGATTTCTATGTAAGCACGAAACAAAAACGTCACTCTCCTACCAGGATTTGTAGGATTTTGTATTTCTCAATTTTCAACTCATCCAATTCAACAGAATACTTATAGTTTTTCAAAATTCTTGAACTCCTTTCACAGAGATATAGGCCATTGCTTGGAAAATGCTTTTAAAATGTATTACATCAGAGAAGTATTATTACAGACTGCTCACTGAGTGAAATTGGAAAGCAGGAAGACAGAGTAGCCACAAGTAAAATGAACGGACAGGGTACAAATGAGCACAAATGACATATTTTTTGGTCCTGAGCAGACTTGTCTGTGATATAAAAATAACCTTTCTTGATTGCTTCTACTTAGAAATAAAACAATTTGATTAGCTGTTCTAAGAATAATAAATATTATCAGAGTATAAATATTATTCAGATGCCTTCATGATAGTATCACATAAAGCTTCAGCCTAAATAGACTGTAAAAAAAGCTTCCAATTAAGAATCTAATATAATTGATACCCAAAACCAACAGAAAGAGCTACACAAGTTTCTGAGAAACTATTAGACCAATGACACTTGAAATCTACATTAATAAGGAATTTCAAAATTTCTGACAAAACTTTGTATTTTCTTCAGTAACTGTCAGTTTCCAATTAACATTCCAACATTCAAAAGTGTACTTTTATTTACTTAAAACAATTATGGAAATTTAAATGACTCAGCTGTATGTTTAATATTACACATGATGCTACTTTAATCTACTGAAAAACATTTTTATTAAGCTATATTATTTATGATAAAACAGGTAGATGCTGAGACAGTGAATGTCCTAACTTCATTTGATGGCAAATAAGTGAAAATTGACCAGCAAAGCCTGATGGCCAGAAGCACAACAGTGACCATGTTTTTTTTTCACAAAATGTCTTCTAAGGAAATACAAAGTAATGAAGAAAGAAAAACAGTATCAATAAAATTCTAAGTAGAGAACCTTTCAAAATTGTCTAAGAAGCTCTCTTTTAAGCAGACCACAAAAATGACACATCTAAGAATAGGCAGTCATCTATCTTTTATTTCTACACTAGTGCCTTTATGTAAATGAATAACAGGAAGTGAAAAAAGAGAGAGGCAGCCTTCTCCGTACTTTTTGATGTTCTTCTTCCTACTTAGATCTCCAGGAGAAATGATAATACTGTTGCTTCTGAGTGAAAAGTGCATACCTTTAAAAACCTGACGAGTTAATCAAGGTAAGTTAATTTGCAATATTTGCAGTCACATAACTCTACATAATAAGCTCTAAGTTACATGAACATCACAAACTAGTTTTGAACAGAGGTGGATCACAGACATTTACTCAAAATACTCTCTTCAAAGTTTTCTTTCATTTTTATTTGGTTTTAATAATATTGTCAGCCATTGCCAATTAATAAGTACCTTCCTACTGTACTCTTGAGTATTTTTGACCAACTTTTCTGCTAATGAGGAACATTCTAATGCAAATGTGTTAAAATTGAAAAGGCCTTACTTTTACTGGTTTGCCTAGTTTGATCTTCCCAGTATAAAAATTCTTTGCAACTCCGCTAATGGCTTAATTAAATACAGTAAAACAACAGCACTGGAAGAAACTCTTCTAGCCAATGTGGATGTTCAACACCCCAGAATAACACAGTCGTATGTCTACAATTTCTGTAAGGATAGCTAACATGTCTGTAAAGACTAAGCTGCACATTCATCAATGACTTATTCTGTGCTTGTGGTTTATCTTAAAAATCAGTCTAGGAAATGGCAAATGTTTATACCGAGATAATCAGAGCATTGTGTAGTAAGAATAAAAAATATGAAAAATGTACCTGAATTTATTCCAGATTTGTGTGTATTCCAAATGCAATTAAACAAGCTACAGAGCCAACAAAAAACATTAAACATAACCATTGCTGCAAATAAGAACTCCCAGTAAACTCTACTTCTATGTTTAAGACATTAAACATATAGCAACTGCATATGCTCACCTCCTCAAGCAAGTCTGCAAACTCATTTATGTTCTAATTCCTATGCTACAAGGTGTTCAGAACGTATTGTGGCAACTGGATGTTTGTTAACTGGATCCAGGACAAACTGAAGATTTTTCAAGGCTCAAATCAGAAAAACACAGCACAGAATTTGATTTCAAAACTCAAGTCTTAACATTTCTCCCACAGAAAAATCCCACAGAGGGTGCTGTGCTGTTTAATTACCAGCTCTTTCAAAGCTGGCTAATGTAAAAGCCATCCCAAAAAAACAAAGTAATTTATTAGACTTCCAACTGAGCATTCTCTTCCTCCCATCCTCAGTGTCTTTGATCATTCATGGTGGCCAGTAACAGAAAAACAAGTTTTTTAGAGCTTTTTAAGATGAAAAATGAGGACAAAGAAAAGTTAAAATGACATTTCCAAAAATATCTCTTTACCTTGGCACTACAGACAGCTACATTAGCAGGCAGCTGGGAAAACTGCTTCAACTCAAACACATCGTGCACCGCCCATCGGCTCAAGTGATTTTCAGCCTTGCTGGATCCAACCACATTCTGATTTGAATGAATATATGCCACTTCTTGAACGCCATCTGATACATCATGAGAAAAATACAAGGATGTTATTCCAAAACACTGAAGATACACATCTGCACAGAAGGATACTGTAATTTAAAAAAAATTACACTGAAGTTGTAAAATTTCTTACTATTTCACTCAGCACCAAGTTACTCAGTCATGTGAAATTAACAACAATCATTAGACTTATTTGTATTTATCCAGATAGTTTATTACTACTTCAGTTTTAGTGTGGTTATTTTCAGATGGACAAAGACATTCCAAAGCATCTATGACTTAACAGCTGCAACATCAGTGGTTAAAATTAAGTTTAGGAATCAAGTCTTTAAACACATGGTGTTTAAAACTCCCAAACCACATTTTTTTCTGTGCACTTTATTTAATAGGCCTGTCAAGACTTGTAAGATTTTACAAATATTTAGTTTGTGAATTTTTAATAAATCTTCAATCTCAGCATATTTCAAGAGATTGTAAGAGTTTAACCAAGAATTACAAAGCAGCCTATCACCCTGTAAGACAAAAAAGTAAGACTAATAAAGAGAAAGATACACAAAGACATTTCTGAAAAACAACTTAGCAGAGCATTTACTACATCTTATAACAAAAAAAAATGTACAGCAACAAGAACTTAAAATCTGCTGACAATGGTAAATTAGACATATGTTATTACTTTAGCTGAAATAAAATTGAACAAATTAACTTAATAGTTACCTAAATATTTGTCCATTGATTCCATTCTTTCTTCTTGATGCTCAAATACAGTTTTACTTGCGTAAGTGCTATGCACAGCATAATTGCCTGACTTCATTTGTGCAACAGACATGTCTTGAATAGGACACAGCATTTTAGACCCAAACTGAATTCTACTACTCTGTTTACTCCTATAGCTTTTCTTCCTGGCATGAATTTTCTCAACTGGAAAATTATCTTCAGAGGATGAGAATTCATCTATATTCTGGGAATCACTTTCCCTTCCTTTTCTACAGGGCTTCTTTGCTTGTGGTAGAGATTTCTTCCACTTGGGAAAACTTGATTCAGAATTATGGGGAAGTTCAATATCATCAGACTCATCGCTTACATCACTCGTTCCTTTCAAATCTATGTCATTCTTGACATCTTCAAAAGACATGGCGAAGTTTGACTCATTACTGTGGAATCCAAATTGTCTACTGTTTCCCTTAAATACAAACCCAGCTTTCTCTTTTGCTAACTCTTCACAATTTTCAGATGTTGACCTATGTATTTCAATTTCTTTAGTAAGCACTGGTTGCTGGCACACTTGAACTTGGGTAGGAAAGATGACATCATCATCTGCTTCAGAACTACTTTCAGTTTCCATGACTATGTCACATTGCTTTAAAATGCTTTGATTCTCATTTTTTATGTTGCCTTCCTCCTCAGAGCCTGATAAACCAAGCCACTCTGTACTATGCATACTTTCTTTATCACTTCCATTTGGAGACAGAACACCTTTCCCATGCTCCAAAACAGGCACACTGGTTTGACATTTCTGAAAACCATCATGCTTGCTATTTACATTTTTTCTTATAGTGTGAGCATCAGAACTTGAATGATTAGAGTCATAATTGTGATCCCCTTCTCTAGTAGTCTCAATTTCTCTCTGCAACAACTTAGAGAATCCACACTGCATTAAGGAAAGCTGTCCTTTTGTTACATTTTCATTGCATGGCTTCCTTCTGTCAGATTTTTTCACAGAACTCTCCAGAATATCATCATCACTCAAATCATCCCAAAAATCAGTTTCTTCTCTTTTTAAGTGCGCCTGAATGTTTTGGGGATCTCCATCTTCTTGACAGTCTGGTTGTTCATACTAAAAAAAAAAACAAAAACAAAAAAACATCTGCAAAGTTACTTAATATTTATAGTACACTCAACATGCCTAATTTCAAAGCAGTGTAAAACAGTGGATTTTCATTGTTAAGTAAAAAATACACAAAGTAGTATTACAAAATGCAAAATAATTCATAATGAGAAATTATTGAAGTCTTATTTTTAGCAGAAAAACAGTGAAAATAACCAAAGTTTATGTACTTAAGACAATATATGCTGTACACTGCTGAAACAACTTATGCCTTCCCAATCCACATCCATATTTTTTAAGTTTATACTAATCTCATTGCTACTTTTTGTCTTTCAAGGGTGCTTTGGAAGGTGACTTCATGATTCAAGCTTTAATATTGTGTGTAATGACATTCATAATAAAAATAATTCTAAGGTAGTGGTTTACCTCCTTGTATATGAATGCTAGCATTCCACTCTAAAATTCATCAAGGCCTACTGTAATCAAACAAAATTATGCCCAGGCAATCTTAAAATGTTTTTAAGATAAAAGTCCAGAACACCGCTCCAGAACTGCATACTACTGAGGTAAGAATTATGACAGCCTGTAAATTGAAGTCAAAACCATAAATACCAAAATTCTGTACTCAGAGACATTTTAAAATTAATATTTTAATCCTGATATAATTCTGCTCATCAAAAAGCATTTAATATAAGCTTAAAAAGTTGCTGTTTGTCAGCAAGCCATATGTGAGATCATGACCACCCAGTTATGTATTATGAATATGAGACTGAGATTAATGTAAGGGCACATTAAATACTGACATATACTCACAGAAATCTCCAACAGGCATAAGAGACAGTGGCTAATTTGTAATATAATTCAGTGCAATCTAATCTAATGATACCTTTACTCAAAGTATCTGAACATGGCACTCAGTCAAAACATTCCTACAAATGCAATGCTCCTATTAAAACTGGCCTTTGTTGAAAAAAAATTAAAAAAAAAAATCTTATTCCAGAAGGAAACCATTAGATAATTACATACATTAAAAAAAAAAAAACCAAAACAAAAAAAAGACAGTATTGAACAGACCACTGGTTTGGTGGGAATCACTCTGATTGTCTGACTACAATAACTAAATAGCCAACGTCTTCAAGAGTTCCACAAAACCTGAAGCTTTCAATCATCTAAATCCCTAGTACTCCTTTCCACAATTCCCTAAACAAAATCTTCTTAACAACACAGTAAAAGTATCATCAGCCTAATGATACATTGCCCACATTTGCCACTGCAATATTGGGAACTGGAGGCCTGTCATGCTCTGGTCTACAGTCCACAAGGACATCTCACCTTTTCTGAGCTGCACGAATGATTCTCTTCCTTCAGCCATGTAGTTGCTGTCATGACTCCTGCTTCTACCCGTCCTTCCCTCTAAGACAATCAAACAGTTAACATAAACAGTTTCAGTTTTTATTACACACAAAGACAAGCACAGGAAAAAGAAGTTTCCTTTGTTTTCCAGAAGTGTAAGTGTCCCGTTCTCAGCTGTTTTTGAAGGCCTGGAAAGGCTCGGGGAGGCCTTGGGACAGCCCGTGCTCCAAAAGACGAAAAGAGTCTTCAGGTTTTTTCTCGGTCTTCAGTGTTTATTAGTTTTTATCTACAAGATTTTCTCTTGGCCCGTCAGAGGTCTGCACAGGACGTCAGCCATGGACACACTGCCCACTCTCGGGGCGGTCACTTATCTTTATACCCAAAACTACGTATAAGATATTTACCTATTTTCCCTTATTGACAAGTGCACTTTTAGTAAGAACCAATCCCAAAGTGCCACCACCACCACAGAAGATGGAGGCCAAGAAGAAGAAGAAGGACAGGACACGCCCCAATTCCTCCATCTTGCTTCTCTAGACCCCCCTGTACCAAAATCCTAAAACCTGTGTCTCACACTATAATGAACCTATCCCTTCACCCTTCATCCCCGTGTGATCCTCCCATCCTCATACAGGTGTTGTCTCCTGTGCAGGATCAAAGTCCAGCCACCAGACACTTCTGGCAGCATTCCAGGACCTCCGAGCCCCCCAAGGGTTATCTCGGTGTCTCTGCACATCAGGGCTGATGTGCTGAGATCCCACATGTAAGTACCAGAAGTAAAATCAGCATGGTCCAGACTAAATTCTTAGCAGAGGAAAAACAACAAAATAAAGGGAAGCATGGAAAGAAAAAGAAACATGGAATAAAGTTGCAGTAAATTTGAAGATGTAAGCTAGCTGCAGCAAACTTCTTTTAACAGTTATTGACATCTCAAAAAGTACTCTAAAGAGGTTAATGTGGTCATAAAAAATATTTTTATGATACAAATTCTGGCTTAAAAGTTCAATATGAGTTTCTGATGAATAAGAGGTATCTGTGCACAAAGCCGCATGAAAGGATCAAAAAATAAGTTATGTAGTTTTTAATGCAAAAAATATATATAGTAGGAAATTTATAAAAATTATAAACCAAGTTTTACCATTCTTGGATTTAGAGAAATTTATCTGGTCCATATCAGAACAAGAAATTAGCATTTCTATTTCATTTAAGTCATTGCCCAGATAAGTATTGGTTAAGTATCATCATTCTGTTTTATAGTGTTTCCATTCAAAACAATGACCGAGAAGTCTCACAAGAAAGGAAAAATGTACAACTAATATCCAAAAGTAAAAGGGACTTCATACCTCCAGTATGTCTTTGGTAAGACAGGACCCATGAGTCCTAAGTTTGAAAAGGTTATGAATCCCAAAAAGCTCTCCTTGATGTTCCTTTGATCCTTGCACTGCCTCAAAATACCGCCTGGCATTTTCAGTTCCAATCACTGCACAGTGAAGTTGCTAAAAGAGAACAACACAAGAGATTTCAGAAGGGTTTGCTACAACAACACGTCAAAATTTCCAGGCACCCACATTATATACACAGCTTTAGCTGGAACAAGCAGAAATTCCTAAGCAAGGATATTTTAATTTCCCCAGCAGAAGTTGGTATAATAGATTGTGGTATAATATGAACCTGCTTGGCGTTACCGAATTAAAAAAAAAAAAAAAATTTTTGAAGACTTTTACTGCATAGTTGCCTATTATCAGACACCTACTATACATGTTACTGGCACTCCTCTGTATCTTGACAGCTCAGCTTCCACTATACTAAATTATTAGCAATCTTTTCACCTTCCCTTGCACTGTATATTTACTTGCTAAGGGAAAGCAATCCAAGTATAGCTGACAAAAACCCAACCCCTCAGACTTATAATTACTCTTGTTTATTACTGCATATTCAACTTGAAAAATACAAGTCAATTTGAAAAAAAAAGAAAAAGAAAAATATTTATACATCCTTTGAAGACTTATACATGCTTTTTGAAAATCCAAACAGACAATATCCAGGTCTTCTTTTTCTACGAGATCATCAACTTTTCTTCTATAGCATCAGCAAGACTTCTCCTTTCCTTTCTCCAGACTTTCATGAGAAAAAGCTGTGTGAATCAGATTGCTGCAGATACTTACTATAACTATCACAGTTGTACTTCATAAACCTTCAAATAAAAACAGTTCTCTATATAACCTGAATAATGTACATTGCATAATTAAACAGTGAATAGTTAAAGAAAAACACTTGAATAGAAATGTTATTCTGTTCCACTCTTTAACAGCTACTAAGCTTGGCTTAGTATGTTAAGGTAACATCACATACCATAAACACAAAGTAAACTACAGTTTTACTACAGGCTAGATTAGCTTTCAGTCCCTGAAAAAAGATTACCTTTCAATCCCTGAAACTGCTAGGAAGAACTCCCAATTTAAACAGTTTGTGAGCTTTACCTGCTTATAAACTTGTCGCAAGTACATCATCTCTTCCACAGTTCCCAAGGATATCAATCTAAACACTTTAACAGCTCTGTGTTGGCCAATTCTATAAGCTCTGCAAGGACATGGCACATTAAAAACATTTGAAGAAATGAGAGCTCTCAGGGGCAGCAATAAACAGTAAACAAACTAAATATATGAAAGCATTCTAATAAAACAGTACTATTCAAAATCATGTATATGTTGATTGGGCTGTTTTCCTTACCTTTCCGAATTTTCCACAGTAACTGATTTCCTTTTCCTTTACCTTTAATATTTCATATTTCTCCCAGGCCTACCCAGTTTAAAAAGCCTTCTCCTCATTTTATATCACAAGAACTGTCTCCCACCTCTCCACAAAACACATCCACTCTGTTTATCTAGGGTTTGCTGAGGGTTTTTTTCCCCTTTGTGTCTCCACCTACTTTTGCTCAAAGTATTCTCCTATTTCCATTATACAGAATTAATTCATAGATTACTTGGAGCAGTCGGTTCTTTCTTAACTTCATAAATTACTTTACAAGATACAACATCATAAAAACAGCTAATGAACTGGCACTGTGTTCTATTCAAATGGTAAATTCTGAGACGTCTAATAGACTATATTCCACAAAATTCACAGGAGGCTAAAACAATTAATAGTAGTAATGTGATCTTACAAAGATTCTTTAAAGATAGTCCCCAATACATGTTTCTGACGTATTTCTCTAGAACAGGTGCACATAAACACATCCTAATAATCAGAAAGACACTTAAAACCAGATTACATAATTGCATGAGATAACAGAAATAAGTGTATTTCTGCTCATGAAAATATATAAATCTACTGAATTTTTAATATTCTTTTATAGGTTTTTAGTATTCTTTACTTCAGTTACTAAAAGGTCTGCCTTGAACTCCTAGGGAAATACCAAGAGTCAACAAGACTGGAAAGAAAAATCTGCATCACTGTAAATACTCCAACACCATATAATATCAGAGATAGATATAAGTGCTAAAAAGACACTAATCTCCACAATTGTGAAGCAGAAGAGAACATAAGGAGCCCCTGTCTTTTATGGTTTGGGAATTCAAAACACCACTTAAACTGGGGTCAACTGCAATGTATTCTTCAAGAAAAATGTCATCTACACACACATATATATTCTAGGGATCACAAAATAGTTATAATAACCACAAGGAGTTTTTTGTTGAGTGTTTGTTTGGCCTACTGCTGCTGCAAAAAAAAGAAGAAATAAAAGAAAATATATTGTAAAATTTAGGTTAAAATAATCACATCAGCGTTAAAAACTAATTTAGTAGGACTTTTCGTATTGTCTTGTAGATTAATCAGACAAAGTAAAAATTTCTTACTTGAGAAAAAAATTTAGTTGGACAATCATGTTACAGAATCAATGGAAGAGTGCAACATGGATCAAGTTCTGTATTTTGAGAGTGTACCTGTCAATTGCTTGAAGATCATTTGCTGGATTCCATGTAGGATCAAACAGTATAACAACATTGGCACCAACAAAATTAAGACCCAGTCCACCAGCCCTAAAAACATAAAAATGAAAAACCAAAACTCTATGATAGTAAGAAAAAAACGTGCAACTAGATTATTCTGTATTAGGTCCATACTTGCCTACTCTTCCCCAACTTAAAAAAAAGAACACATGAAAGATACTGAAAAAAGTGCAGTACAGCTTTGTGTTACTGTTGTACTAACAACCGCCAAGTACTCAAATAACCACTGCCATTAATTTCCCATTAAGTCCTACACAGGGCAACACCCCCTAATATTATAATGAAATTCACAACCAGTTTAATGCCAGTTAATATTATGGAAGTAGGAAAATTACAGGTGAAATTTTACTTCAGCTAATCCCAGTACATAGTTTTTGACAATAATGCTGCGCAACTTTCACTAAAGTGGTCACAATCTCAGGTAAGCCATACCTGTAAGCATTAACAACTAACACAAGTGTATTTGTACAATAAGTTATTCAGCTGTTAAAAACCCAGTTGGCCACACTGCATATGAGCAACATTCATAACAGTCATTAAAGCGAAAAAAGTCACAGTGAGAAATTTATCTGCTCTGCGGTTTAGAAGTCACAGAGGTACCACCTGCATCATCTCAGAACGCTCAACAGCTAAAGAGTGTTTTCAGGTAAAACTTGCAAGCCGAGAAGAAATTGAGCATACATCTAACCTGATGCAGCTAACTCCTGAACCCGGCAAAACTGCTCAGTTACTCAGAGTTTAGCACGTGCTTAGATGAATGATTTGATAGGAGCAAAAGTGAGGAAAATACCACTTCTCATCCAGTTGCAAAGCAAGCAAATACTGAATTTTTTTTTGACTGGCTCAACCAACTATCATACAAAAGACATACGTTCCTACACAAGCACAAGCTAAATACTATCATTAAATAAACTATTAAAACAATTATTCACATTATCATAGGCATCACTAATTCCAAGTGCGCTATTTTTCTAAAACAGGTACTGCAAAATTGAAAAAGTAAATCCCATTAACTTATCAAGCACCTAGTTTAACAGATTACTTTAAATTTTGCTTGTTTGAAGGAGATAAGAAATACAAGAAAGGTAAAGTTTTCTGGTGTAAGAGTGAATGGAGACAGAAACCAAAAACTTAGGGAGCCCCACCACCTTCTGGTTTTCATGGAATCCATGTCAATGTAAATGCAACTGCAGCCTTTCCTTTCTAAGTATGGTGTAGCTTTGGGTTAGTTGTAACTGGAAAGGGAGGGGATATAGAAACTTGCCAATATTAATGGATGTTTCCACAGAACTCACATTCTCAAACTGTGAATTACTGAATAACAATATTTGGTTGGGTTTTTCTTTCAGAATACATTATGGTATTTTTCAAATTTAGTGCGCTTATTTTTAATGAAAAACCTCTTTTTTCATTAAAACTTTTTTCATTAGTAAGACTTCAGCCTTTCCTGTTTCCGAACCAACCCTGCAGTTGGACTGAAACATAAGTGAAGATGTAAAACCAACTGTCCACAAAAATTAACAAAACAGGATATCTAGATTTATACTAATTTTACCTTTCAGTGTTTTTAGGTATGACCCAAAAATTCAGTTAGTCCAAAACAGAAAAGAATGGCTCTTATATCCTTCATAGACAGAACAAATGCAGAAGTTTGCGCATTGTAAGTTATGTACTCCATTTTACCTCTCATTTTAACTAGCAGCTAGTCATTACTGCAATTTGGTCCACGCAAATTAGTATGATATGGCTTAAATAAAGAGTTTTACTAAGAAGAACAGTTTTCAGAAGATGATCTTACTTAAATCTGCACAACTCAGTACCTCAAAAGGTACAGAACAATACTACATTAGGAAAGGTTTTATAAAAGTTTTGATTATGTAATTCTGTTTACCAAGCTGGGTTTTCTAGGGTTTCTATGCTCTTTGTTGCAGAGAGATTTTTGTGGCTGAAAGTTCTTTGGATGTCATCACAGGCACACTGAAAGTTGTTCAAAACATCGCTGTGAAAAAATTAAAGCTAAATCTAAAAGTAAAAAGTAACTAACAGCAGTCCAGTAATGGACAGTAATAGAGAATGCTGCAGGTAGAATGGAAGTGGATATGTAACCTTACATGATAAAAACTACCTACAAATTTCTCTAGACACTTCTTTTTACATAAAAAGAAAGCTGAGAAGCAGAAATGGATTTTCATTAAGAGTTAATTCTGACAGAACCAATCTAGAGAACGACTAGCACCAAAAAATCCAGAAACAGTGACTTAAAGGCAGACATAGTCATTGCTTTTATTTACTCCAGAAAACTACGATGGAACAGAACTGTGCTGACTTTGGTACTGTACATAAACAGTTTCCCTTCTTTTGGCTAAGCAGCACCACTGGAACTGAAAGCCTTGACATTCACCTATCAAGTTACAGCAACTCCAGCAATTATTTTAATGTTTCTAAGCACACCTAAAAATCCTCTTTTCTAAATAATCACATATTTTCCCAGCAACACCAGTGCAAGACTGAAGTATTCTTACGAAGTATTACTTAATGAGAGTTAGAAGTTCCAACAGGTATATACCTATTTTTCCCTAGTGCTCAATCTGAAATTCATGATCTAATGGCTTGATGAAATGTACAAGCTCTGAAGAAAACAATTACACTCCCTCTCAACACCTATAAAATACATTTATCCATAAAGCTGTATTAGTCACAGCTGACAATAAAAGCATTAGGGATAGCCATGTGACTATGCTTGGTACCAATATTAACTTCAAGATTTGAGGTCAAAGCTACAGATGCACAAAAGTTTATTTTTTATTCTTTATTATTTTATTTTCTTTTTTAAGATCCCATTTCTCAAAAAATTTCAGTGATCAATTAAAACCAGGATTTTCAAAGCTCTATGGGCTATATTATATATTATTTCAGGCAGAAACAGCATTTGAAAGAAAAGGAATATAAAATACAAACACCACAAATGTAATAGTGAAATCATCAGTGCTGCACTGTAATTCTGTGATTGGTGTTTTATGTTTTGTAAGCTGCATATTAATTGTGCCAGTGAACATAATGGCAGTCTCAACATTACTATGTAGAGAATTCATCCGTTGCAGAAAGCACTTACACACCCAAAAGACCAAGCAAGTATTTTCAGTGAAAATCAACATTTGGTTCTCTGAGCAATGAGACCTCCAGAACAGACATATATTGACTACACAGACCAGTCAGCCAGACACTTTGCAAGAAAGTACAGAGAGAAGAGTATGAACCAATTCTGTCAACGTACTCTGCAATGAATAATATAGAATAATATAGAATATACTCTAAATTTACTCTATATTATTACTTTATATGTGCCTGAAATCTGAGTAAGAGGAAAGATCAATCTCTTGTACAGCAGAAAGGATAAATCACTTTCTAATTTCCAAAGCATTACAAATGTAAAGATGCTTCCATTACTGTGCATCAAGCAAGGAAAAATATCACTTCCTGTTATCTGTAATAAACTAGGCAAAAAATTACACCCTCTGTTTCGTTTATAACATACTAGCTATACTGACTGTAATTATGGTTTGTTCCTTCCAGTTGTCTCATAAGATAAGTAAAACTACAAACAGAATCAAGCCTTTTCTCCAGCACCTTCAGCAGGCAGAGTCTCTACACACAAGCTCTCAAAACAGAGAGGAGAAAGCCCATCTCTGTTTAGTTAACCTTCATTCTTATTTTGATTTAAATTAATGAAAGAGAACTAACAGCTCCATGAGTACAGTACCGACTGAAGCAAAAATTAGTCCTTTAGGATGCTACAGCTTCTGAAATTTCCCTCTGTCTTCAGGGACAAGGGCTATGGACTCACAAAGGTCTTAGAGAAGCTCATGTCCGATTTCACAGTTGACAGAGATTACAGGCCAATGGACACGACCAGTATCACAAATCTCTTCAATGACCAGTATCACAAATCTCTTCACAACGCTATACACAAGCACCAGAGTATCTGAAGACTGCTCGGACATCCACTTGCAACAGCCTTTAAAATGATGTCTGCTCTAGTTATACTGAGGTAGTTTGGATCCTCCTAACTCCAACATACCCACTTCCAGTAAAAACTACAGTGAACAGGTACTCATATTTCATTAAGTTTCACTGAGTTTTCCCCTCTGGATAGGAGACAAAAGGAGCAAAGCTTTTCTTTGCTCCTTTTCTGCCCTTCCCCAGTAAAAAATTTCATTCAAGATGAAGCAAGGAAGTAACCTGAATAAAACAAATAAATAGTCATTGTAGTAACAATAACTTTAGTTGAACAAAACAATCTATTTCAAAACAATTTGCTATTCATCATAAATTGATAGGCAAATCTGATAGGTACATTTCAAAAAGACAAAAGATCTTGCTGAAACATTTTAAATAGACATGCTAGCTAATTAACATGATTAATAAATTGCAGTAATAGTGAATTTTTCAGCTCAATATGGCATTTCATGTTCATACTCACTTGTTAGTTCTACTAGTGCAAAACAAGAAAATGAGTGTCTACAATAAAATTAAAAGCCTTTTGTAGATAATGGCATAATAATAATTTTTTTAATAATAGTGTATAAAACTGTGTCTTCAATCCTGCAACAACTTTAAACTAGAATCCAGAAGACCCACTTCCTTCTGATCTTAAAAATCCTCATGAAGCGGGAGGGAGGGAGGCAGGCAGGGAGGCAGGGGCCTAAATATTTTAAGAAGCTTCCGACCAAAGCAACAAGTCTATACTTACTCTCATCTTCTCAAAAAGTAATCCCTCACAAGCTCAGCAAGAGAAATGCAGAGTAACTGATTTACTAACACTAGACAGACATATTGAAACAAGCTACAAGTTAAATTTTCTTACATTGTAGATACAAGACATAAGTTAATTTCCTGAAGGCTGTTGAACTCTCTCACTATTTTGATCCTATCTTCTGATTTTGTATTTCCATCAAGTCTTCGGTAATCTAGCCCAGATGCCATGCAGTACTGTTCTAGCACATCAAGCAACTGCGTGGAAAAATGAAGAAAAAAGGAAAATAAAAAGTTAAGTACTTAATAGTATCTTTTAAATTAAACATGATCACAGGGACCATGTTTATAAAATATATTTTTAGTACACCACCCATTGCTAATTACAGTAAATCTCTGACACTTTGGTATCAACATTCCTGATTCTCTTTAGCCGTGATTCCACAGCACTCAAGGTGTTTAATATTGGTGTGCTGTGGTCTGACTCCATCATCCCACTCTAGCTGCCTGTTTCATCCTGTCACTCAATCCAACCCAGCCAGCAGGCAGTCCATTTAAGCAGCTTCCTCCCATCTTAGCAAGCTGCAATTACTTGAAATACAGTAAATGAGCATTACAGAGGCACAGAGTGCACAGTCAGAGTTCAGGGGTATGGAGTGAAAGACACTGCAATAACCAGCAGTCAGTCTGGTACTGGACACCATAACACATAACCTAAGAGATACATGAGTAATCTACTGCTGCATCTAAACATTAAACTTGCATTCTTTCTTAAAGTCAAAAAAAAAAAAAAGGTATTTAAGACTCCTGAACTACCATTCAAATGACTATGCTTTAAAATACTTTTTAGTGCTATCATTACAAATATTTAAATAAAAGCTCCAATACAACAGAGTGAGCTATTTCAGGAAAGACATTACTCCCTAATAAGGAAACCAAGGAGCAAGTACCTTAAAAGTAAAATGTACATATAAGTCTCACTCCAACTAGAGAGTTTTAACTTCAAACCAACTAGTGCAGCAAGAATTTCAGTTTCATTGCTGATGATGAAAAGTCAGCAGAATGAGGAAACTTAACTTTCAGTGCTAACACAAAGGTTTTATGATATGGCAGTCATACTGAGCTATGACAGTGCTGTAACTCAAGACATACCAGCTGAACTTAGCTATCTGCACCTGAAGTAATACAACTATTTCAAAGAGGTCTAGGGACAGCAGAAGAGCTACACCTGTTTTGCTGTTACCATTTTTATCATGAGGTAACATAATGTTTCAATATCCTTGCGGAGTATGGCACACTGTCCTCGTAATTACTCCTAACAGTAGAAGCAATAAGGAAATGTGGTTGACAAGTTGTCAACTTTCAGATTCACCCTTCAGAACTTACTGCTGCAGTTAATTGATAAAAATCACATGGAGCTCACCTTTGTGGAAAAGGAGAAAAGAAGAACTTTATCCTTATTTTTTCGGAAGTGATTTAAAAGCTGCTGAAGGACCTGTAAATAAAGCACAGCAGAAAAATGAAGACATTTTTATCTAAAATCTAAATTTTTATCAGGTCATCTTACACACACTTAACTCATGTTTTCAACCTCCAAACAGACTACACTGAACTTAATTATTTGCAAAGCCAGCAGAACCATAACAAAAATCATTACTAACATAATAAATGGGCCAAAGGTAACGGAGATGCTGGAACTTTGCATTTTTCAATGATGTACATGGAAATCCTACTGTGACAAGGTCATCAGACCACTAAAAGGTAGATTCAGAAGCTACTTGTGTAAGTGCATAGACTGCAACAAAAAGTTACTTATGTCACACACTAGCTCAGATTCAGAGTTTTTTCATTTAAAAAATGCACACATTTAACCTGAAAACTCCAAGGTCTGCTTAAACTTTCTGTCCTACATCTGAGTTCAGAGCTTCTTGGAACTTGTCTTCTTAAAATAATCAGTGAGATGTATGCCCCTCCCCGCTCCCACTCTCATCTGTTGCTCTGTTTACAGTAGGATCCAGCTTCCCAGACTCTGCGCAGACCTTGAAATGCCAATAATCCGCCCACACACAATGTTCTTCTGGTGGGGAAGCAAATAATCCAGAGCCTTGTGTATAATAGTGATACTGTTATTTTCAAAAGAACTATGTCCACATCTGGCAATGGCAGCTCCAGAGCACTGTGCTGAAGCCATACACAATGGGAAAAGAGGAATTTTCTGCATCGTGACTGAGGCTTTTTTCCACTGGACAATAAATATTTTTGAAATTGTATTTATTCAGTGATAAATAGATAAACTGTTAATCAAGAATTATTTCACTACAAGCCTAAGAAATCTTTGACAATCAAATAAAGATTAATGTTTGTATTAATGTTACAAGTTTGGACAATATCCACAATATAAAATGGTAATAATATGTCACTCCTGAACTCCTTACTAAATGTCAGCCATCTTGTTACAATTGAAAACAGGGTACAAATGACAGATTTTTTTGGCCTCATTTCATTGTACATGAACATATAATCCAGGATTTATTTTACTAGGGAAAAAAATACTCAACAGGCCATTTAGCAGAGCTGTACTATACAAATTTGCATTTTATTTGGCCACATTAAGAAAAGAAACAGAAGTGACATTCTTTTAAACTAGAAGGAATTGGCTTCTGTGTTATTGTTGTTATTATTAAAGTACAGGTCAAATAGTGAATTTCCTATAGGAGAATACAAAAATAAATCCACACAATTCGCTTAAATGAAATGGATCAATTTCATCCCATTGGGAATTTAGGTATTCTGGAGTAAGAAACAACTCTAACAGCGAAAAGCAATGAATGTTTTTGCACCAAAGAGAAGTAAATTCTACACTTGCTCACCAGAATATTGTCCTGTATGTTTTTCGCCCAAAACAGAAACACTCGATCATACTCAAGCAGAAGTCACATGTTCTTTGTAAGAGTCCCCATGGATTTAAACATACATCTCCCCATTGCTACACATTTTGAGTCATCTGTATGTGATGAAATTTTACCTCTTGCTTTTGAGAACTTTTTTCTATAGAGATGTTCAAGCTAGCCTACAGTATTTTTTAAACCTTCAAAGCCAGCCCTGTCTGGATCCGAGTTATGTTTAATGGTAGAGATTACCATTTCTTGCAAAGTACTCCAATAGACTTCCATTTTCTTACTGAATGATAATATCCCAAGCAAAAATAATTAAATCAATACAACAGTTATTCCTAAGATATTTGTATTAAGAACAGTATTCTGAAATGCCACAAATAGCTCTCCGTGGAAATGTATGCAGTTAAAAAATAAATCTTTAAAAAAAAAAATTTCAACTGCACAGACTTTAATAACCCTTTACACCTAGAAAGCTCATAGCGTCTCTGTGGCACAATTTTAACAAAACTGTAGAAATAATCAGACAAGGTAGTCTGAATGAGAATTACTGCAGGATTGTAAATCTATCCTCATTCATCTTCTTCCAACCAGTCCCCAATACTTCCGTGTGGACAATCTGAAATCATTGCATTTCAAAAGCAATGAACCACTAGTCCTTCAACTTTGCAGGTCCCCACTATTTTACATCATCATGATAGAAAAACAGTGGTTTCCAAATAAAGCAGATCACTCCTTTCACTCAGTTCTCATATACTCAACTACTTCTATTTTAAAATCTAAGCATGAAATTTACCATGTAATAAAATATGTCAGCAAAGCTTGCAAACTGTACAATCTGCAGTACAAGTGAAAAGGAGGGGATAATTTCACAAAAAAAGCTGAAGCTTTTAATCACTGCATATTACCCACCTCCCACTCTAACACAGATACATTAGTGTCCTTGTTATACCGGATTAGGTACACCATCAATGACTATACAAGTTGTACATTTGGACTGTAGGAATTGTTTTTTCCAGGCTCTTGGTGTAATTCCAAATTCAGAACAGAAAACCTGGGGTGGCATGTTAATGCTACAGTTTGCAAAACACAGAGAGATGACTCACAACAACAGGTAGGACACAAACACTACATAAAGGCCATTCTTTACCCATTGCATACAAGCAGATCTAGTTTTACTGGTGGAAGTAATTCATATCCCATAACAGAATGTCTTACTATGTGTTTTATCTCTGTTTGGCTGGAGAACAAATAGGCTGAGTAATGGAACCTTTTCAACTCTGCAAAACAGTTACAGCTGCTTAGCTAATAAACTTCATTTAAAAAAAAAAATCACAGCCTTTCCCCCCTCCCTGAATAAATTTTTTAAAAATACCACAAACAATTCCTTTGCAACTATGCTTATCTACAAAAGAATAATCACCTGTACCAAAACTTCTGTGCCGTCTGTAGTGAATTTTAAGTAAAAAGATAAAGTAATGCTTATTCAGTCTACATTACCAGATGAAAGTTACAAAAGAATGTCACTTAGTTTGTAGAATCCATTTATGAAACTAATTATGAATTTATTTATTTAGGAAATGCAAACTACTACAGTGCAACAAGGTTACTAAAAACATTTTACTATCATTTGTCTTAGTTATTTCCAAATAAACACGTTAAAAATTCATAAAGCCATTTCCAAGCTTTAATACTAGTTGACTCATCTGTGATTATTTTCTTATGCTACGACAACTTTCTAAATTACATACTTCCTGAATGATTTTGCTTTCACAGTATAAAATGCAAAATCATCACAAATAGTTTCCATTCTATAATTTAGGAAAAAAAAAAAGAAGCAAGTCATGACACCAAAAAGGTATGAACCAGTTTTTGGCACCATGAAGTCAAGATTAATGGACCCAAAAGCCAGCTTATTTTCAATAATAGCTATATAACCCATTATCTTCTTTCCAGGCACAAAGATTTTCGAATCATACAACAGTTTGGGTTAAAGATCATTTTGTTTCAAACCATGCCACTACGGGTAGGGATGCCACCTACTAGATTAAAAGTTCCATCCTAACTGGTCTGGAACACTTCCAGGGACAGGGCATACACAGCTTCTACAGGCAACCTGCTCCAGTGCCTCGCTACTCTCACAGAGAAGACTTTCATCCTATAATCCAATCTAAACTTACTCTCTTTCATTTTGAAGCCGTTATCCCTTTTCCTATCATTGTAAAAAGTCCCCCTCCAGATTTCTTTAGATTTCCCTCATTAGTGAAAGGCAGCAATAAGATTCCTCAAGAGCCTTCTCCAGATTCAGCAACCTCAATTCCCTCAGCCTTTCCTCAGAGAAGAGGTGTTCCATCCATGTAATAATCTTCATGGCCCCTCTGGACTTGTTCCAAAATATATTTTTTGTGCTGAGAAAGCTGGATACAGTACACTGCATGAGTGGAGCAGAAGAGGAAAATCACCTCCCTTGCCCTGCTGGCCACACCTCCTTCGATGCATTCCAGGACACCTTTGGCTTTCTGGGCTGTACAGAATAATCCTTTAGGCACACCTGCACCACTTCAGGCAGCCACTGGACAAAATAAACTCTGGCCAGAAACAGGACCGCATCTTACCACAACATCATTTCAGGTGGTTGTACAGAGTAATGAGGAGGCCCAGGGGAGACCTTTTTTGCAGGCTAAACAAATCCCAGCTCTCTCAGCTGCTCATCATAAACATGACACTCCAAACCCTTCACCAGCTCCTTCGCCCTTCTCTGAACATGCTCCAGCAGCATCTCAGTGTCCTTCTTGCCAGAGGGGCCCAGAACTGGATACAGCACTCAAGGTGTGGCCTCACTAACGCCAAGCACAGGGGAAGAATCACTTCCCTGATCCTGCTGGACACAAAATTTGATATAAGCCAAGATGCCACTGGTCTTCCTCGCTGTCTGGGCAAATTGCTCTCTCACATCCAGCCACTGCTGACCAGCACCTCCATGTCCTTTCTCACCTGGCAGCTTTCCGGCCACTCTGCCCCAGCCTGTAGTACTGCAGGGTGTTGTTGTGGCCAAATGCAGGACCTGGCACTGGGTCTTGCTGAACCTTATATCATTGGTCTCAGCCCACTGATCCCTCTGCAGAGCCTTCTTAACCTCCAGCAGACCAACAATCCCACCTATCTAAAGTTTACAAATCTACTGAGAATGCACTTGATCCCCTCATCCAGATCATCAGTAAAGATGTTGAACAGGACTGGCCTCAAAACTGAACCCTGGGAGACATCATGGTGAGTGGATGTCAACTGGATGTGGCACCATCCAGCACCCCTCTCTGGGCTCAGCTACCCAGCCAGTTTTGAATCTGGCAAAGGGAAGCCATGGCTGCCAGCTTTTCTAGGACAATGCACTGGAAAAAAATTGAATATAATAAAAGAATAACAAAAATGTAAAATAGGAACGTGAATAATGTCATGGTAAAATAATCAGTAACAGAACTGCTTCATAAGTAATTCTTCAGCTCCTGAAGATGACAGATTTGGTTTTTAAAGCTATGTATTAATTTAACAGCTAAATTCACCTTCTCAAAATAATCAAGTGTATGCAACAAAGTTAATATGCAGGCATTTCATACATATCTAACAATAAAGAACGTTGTTGCTTACATGGTAACAAATCAGTAAAGTGATAACAGCCATTCCTGCTACAGCAACATAATCTTCCCACTGCCACCAGTCCCAAGAAGAAAATGTTAATATTCAGGTTTACAGAGAGCCAAAATTCTGCATAGCTTCTAACCCTCCCAGTCACTCTCAGCTCCAGAGTACTACTAAAACTAGTATGGCTTTCTTTTTAATTAGTTATACTAGACATCTTTTTCATCTACATTAAGCAACATCATAATAATCTATACTATATGTCATCACATCATCTTTTGCTCCTCTCTGAAACAAGAGAAAGACAGTTTCTGACATGAGAGGTTTCACAGATTCATACTACACACATTTATTTTGGTCATCTTCAGCACAACTACTATTATTTTCATTTAATGTCCAAAGGGTTCAAGAAATCAGTAAGCACTTGATACATTTTCACCAGTTCCATGCTATTCCATGATTGTGTAGGTCCCACTCACCCTAAGACACTCCTTACAGTCTGGAGGGTCCCAGCCTACTTGGCTGCTTCTGACACAGTTACTAATCACGCTTGTGGCCCTTCTCTGAACAGTCCTCTGGACCTTTTCGAAGTCTAACATCTCCTTTTTGAGAGGAGAGATTGGAACTTCACACAAAATTGAAGCTGTGCACAAATCATTAAGCCCATAATGATTTTGTTTTGCTTCCTTTTCTTTGCCAAGTATTTCTGACTGTCACCAGAATCCATGGTTTCATGCAACAATAATCCTGTTGACTACAAGGGTCATTTCCATGCCCACCATCAAACACGTGAAGCTAAAGTCTCAGAAAATTTTAGCATCACAGATTATTCTTATCCAGTCTTTACCCAGATAAATACTGATCCATGACCAAAGATTCCTGCTGTTGTATGATGAACAATAAACAGAATAATTAAAACCCCCAAAACTATTAGGTGTATATTTTCTTATATCCATATAATACAGGCCAAATCTATTACTATTAATAAAATTTTTTTTCTTCTAAGGAAGGGGTTTACCTTCATTTTTCCACTATATTTTGGATCTGAAATAGTTTCAAAGGCTGCATCTTTGCTTAACTGCACAAAATCTGGAAAACTGGAAAATACCTGGCTGCAAACTCGTTTGATATGCGCTTCCTGGAAGAAAAGCAGAAAAGTTAAACAGATGTTAAAAGTCAGAGCTATGTTAAGCCATGCAAAGAGTTAAACAGGTTGAAACATGATCTGCCCAAGTATCTCAAGCAGACTAATGTAGTTTTTAATTTAGTTCACTACAAAACTGCTGGATAAACCATTTCCTGTGTGTTTTGCTTTGTTTCATTAAAAAAAAAAAAAAGATTCCTAATCTGAAATCATAGATTGTATTCAGAACGTCTTCTTCTGGCCAGAATTGTCCATTTCAAAAAATCCTCTTGCCTTGACATTTGCACTACCCAAGGGTTCTGCACCAACATTTCTCTTGACTCTTTCAGGCAAGCCAGTATGGGAATTACATATTGTTCCACAACAAAAACTGTACAGGAAATGGACTTAAGGTGTTTTAAAGCCACGTAAAGCTCACTTGCTAAATTTAGCTCTGAACTTAAACACAATCTCACACTTTAAGTCCACTTTTACAGAGAGAAAGAAAAGATTACATCTCCCACCTAAGAATATCACATGTAAGGGCCTTCAATACTCAAGGTACATGCAGTATCCGTGGTAAGAAAAACTACTAAGTATTAGTTTCTTAGTAGATGTTGGTAAAATTAATAATTATGCATGATGCAGAAGACTGTAAGTCACAAAATACCTGCATTCCATTATTTCAGAGGTTATTTAAACATCAGATGTTATTACAACAAAAACTACATTTGCAATACACAAAAAAGCCCACTAAAAACATCTGGCTATATGCTGTGTGTAGTGTGCTGGACACTGAAAGTAACATTTATAAAAAAGCAAAACTGTTTTAATGGAACAAGCTCACAAAATTAACTAGGACATTCCAATATCTCTTCCTTGATAGATTCTAAGAAAAAGTGGTAATGCCCCTAAATCCCTTTCCTCATTCCTGGATCTTAAGGCTCACAAACAAGCATTTCTGAAACTGCTGTTTGTGGGTCTGGTTGCTTGCCATAGTAACAAGATAAGCTGATACTGATCTTCCATTGAGCAATTTTTTCTAAAACATGTTTCTCATTATTTAAACAAACTCAGCTCTTAACATAAAATACTAGAGAAAAAACCCATTCTAATTATCTATTATTTATTTGCACAAAGACATTCCTCTTATAGGCACTCCATAAATGTAACAAAAATTTATGTTTTTGTTACATTTATGAAACCCTATTAGAAATCATGAAAAATTACTCTCTCTCCTAACTTCTTCGATGTTTTATAACCCTTACTTTCAGATATGAATCAACTAAATGAACATGTTGTTTTGTATAACATCTTTATAAGGTATCCATTCTGTATGACTGAATGGAAAAGGAATCTTACAAAATATCTTAATTGCAGTTAGTTATGGCTTATAAGGAGGCCAGCAGCAATTTTCATTCAAGAGTTTTCATCCCATTTATCTTCCAAAAGTCCATTTTTTAGATACTTCTGAAACTAACCTGCAGTTTGCTAGTGTTGTCTGTCTGCAGCAGTGCAGCATGGTTTGCAACCTTCTGTAGGATCATTAGGTAACTGAAGCGTAATGACTTAATCGTTTCACCATGTGCATTTACCTACAAAAAGAAACAGTTTATGCAAACAAATACTACTGAAAATAAGTAATAATCTCAAATAAATGCTATTCTTACCAGGTTTAATGCATTAACAATACTATAACTGATCCCCAAGAGATGAATACTGTATTTCTGCTAAAAATGAACCAAGTTCTGTTTTTTCTTCAGCTTTGTCACCCTATTAATAGAAACATCTTAGTAACTTCTACAGACATCCCATGGAGATAACCAAGAATTCTTTAGTAAACAAGAACATGGTAACTTTGTAACTAATTAAATCAAGCAAGACCAGTTTGAATGCCTTCTTACCTTTCAACTGCTAACTTTATTTTTCTTTCCGGCAAAAGCTTTCCAAGCATCTCAAATAGCAAAATTCAAGCTTTGCATATTCTACAGTGCAACAGCAACTGTGCAACAGCATCAGCTATCTTCCTAGTTATGGCTGGCTGGCTTGACCAATATTTGTTTTCCTTTCCCTTCTCAAGTTACTAAATTTGACAGTTAACTTTGGAATAAAACAGTCCATAAGAGCACTCAACTATCTGCAGGCCTGCCTACTGCCCTTTTGTGAATCAAGTCCACCAGCATTCCTTTTTTCTACAAAACACCACTAGAAACAAAAGTCTGCAAAGAGGGCTAATATCCATGGAATATTAAAAAAAACTGATGAGGGGATTGCTCATAAATAAAGATGCAGGAGACTGAAGAAGCTACATCATTTAGAAAAAACTCAAAACACTCAAAACAAGAATCAGAGCAGGCCAGAGAGATAAAAGGGAGAAACAAGCATGTGACACATGCTTCTAAATGTTTAAAAGATGTGCTTAATCTGAGCCTACTGAGTGAGGTAAGCAAAACAAATACAAAGCTAGACTGATCAAGATTTAAAGAAGTCCGGAGAAGATCAAAGAAATCTGCAAAGCTGTTATTCATGGACGAAATTCGACTAGTGCTCTTCGCTGTTAGATTTCTCCCCTCATGAAGCAAGAGAAAGTGGATGTTTAATGGCACAGAAAGGCATGACTGCAGTTAGAACACAACTAACTACCCAGGCAGCCTGCTGAGCTCATAGGGCCTCCCATTCGCAGGTCCTGCACAAATTGCCTGAGGCACCTGGAAGCAGCATGCCTGACACATACTGAACATCTCAATGCAGTGCTCTTGTCAGTATCAACTAAATCACAGGTGCATCTATTGATACAAAAGATCCAAAATTTACTGCATAGGGAACAATCACCTGCTCAGGGCGTGCAAAGCAGCTTTGCAGTAACCTCAAAGTGCTTAACTCTATCATGCTGGTGATGCAGCTCCCTGTGTTTCCAGCTGGGATGTCCCAAACAGATGAGCTACAACTAGGCAAATATTTCAATCAGCTCTTCATCAGCAGAGAGTCTCTTGAGAAATTCAGAAGACTATGCGCTAAAATCCAAACAGTGCCAAGTTCTTACTTTGTAACAACAGTTCTTCCTCTTACGGCCACTGTTGCAGCTACAGGGCTCTCCCGCTCTTAACACCAAGGTTACATCATCTGTCTCTAGCACAGCTTGGTACACAGCCCTCTGGAATTCAGTGAGGGAACAAAACACCATCTGCCAAAGAGGAAACACAAGAAACACTATCATGTGCATCATACAATGAAAGGCAAAAAACCACTGCATCATAAAAAACAGATCACAGATCACTGAAAATAAAGTAGAAATAAATTTTAGACTTGCTCAAATAGTTAAACAGGAAATTATTCTATCACCAAATGAAAAAAAAAAGTGGATCTTTACACCAAAGTAGCATGAAACTGTAGCAAAAATGTATGCACACTTATTTTATTCCACCCCAAAATTCTACAAAGAATATCAATACCATTCTACAAGAACCTGCTGTTATTTTGCTCAAAACCTTTAAACATGGCTTTTGTGAAGGAATAGGACGAGGAAGGAACAGTGAGAGAAGTAAATGCATAATGTTAATTAGAGATTTCTCTCTGTTTTGCAAGGTGTTTAATTTGCCCTTTCTTTCCCCTTTTTAGGCATTAGCTGTTGTAGGGCACTACCGAAAGCCACAAGCAGGACAAACAGAATTAACAATGAGAAGGCATGGATCTACAAAGTGCTATGGCGAAAACTGATCCCTCTTCTGAAAGACCATGGGTGGCATCTCCATGACATCTTTAGTCTTAAGCAGCAGGAGACAGAAATCCCAAGATCATTCCTTAACCTACGCTATCCACATAGCAGCAGCACCATGCTGAGCTACAATAATACAGCAGTAACCTGAACATATACTCACATTAACAAGATAATGAAAAGAATAAAACCTGCTAGATTCAGAAAGGAGACTGACTGATGTTTGTGTTAATCTTTCCTTCGGAAGACTGCCTAGATGACATTATTATAAACTAAGGATGAAGAAAAACACCAAATTTTGAAAATAAAACCAGATGCAAACTTACATATTTGTCAACTCAGAAGAAAATATTTAGCAGAACTCTTATCTATATCAATAAAGTATAATCATTTCATGTAATATTTACAATTGCATCAGATGAACAGGATTACAGGCCTATCACAGAATCATTTTGTCTGAGATTTTTCTTTTATTTCAGGATTGAAAATGAAGGAGTTAAAAGCATACTGTTCCATACACAAAGTTTCAAGATGCAAATTCAGAAGTTCTGCATAGAATTTCAAGACATACATTTACATACATTGCTTTGGGCTTGCAGAGATAAGGACAAAAACATACATAAAACAGATGTGTAAAACACTAGACAGAAGACTGGCTGAGCATTTTCATGCTTGATTAACTCCATTTCAATGTGCAATCATAGTAATTATGTGAACAAAGCACACTACTTCAAGTGCACTTTTTCCAAGGCTATAGAGTCTTCCCAAGTTAAAAAGATGAAGAGAGAACCATAAACTACAGACATGATGCAAGAGAGAAAATACAACAAGAAAACTAAAGAAGAGATACATTCATTAGCATTGTATTCAAAATGTGCAGGCACTCTTACTCTGTCTTCCTTTTTCGGCAACTGATCACTGATAAGCGCTTTGGTACGTCTCAGAAACCAGCCAGACATTGTTCTTGCTAGCTTCACCATGGCCTTACGACCTGTTGCTAGCTCTCTTTTAGTTGCAGTGTGCCTCTGGCCATGCTCCACTGGATCAGAAAATTTCTTCTTGAAATGCACTCTGCTACCTAAAAGTCCTGGTACAGCCCTATTAAAAAACAAAAGGGGATGGGGGATTGATTCACTGATTTAAACCATACCATAAACTCTTTTTTTTCTGACTAACAGCAAGCTATCTTAAAGTAGCAGTCACTAGATAAACCACTAAAAATTTTAAGTACAAATAGAAACAGATACTATTTTAAGACATGCCACTTTTCCTTTGTTTTCTGTGATTCTCCAATGCTAAGACACACCCCTCAGGAAAAGGGTTCCAATCTCAAGAAAAGAAAAAGTTTAGCAGAACAACAGAAATCACAATTATATAGAAGCTCTAAACTACAAGGCTGCTAGTGTTGAGGAGCCTAAACTGGAAGCTAAACAGTCATGTTTTCAATATTTGCTGGTTTTATGAAATCAGAATATACAGATATTACAAATAACTGAATAAAATCTTGAGAAACCCAATGGTAGAAAGAATTTAGTAACTGTTGGCAGCATTACACATTGGAACAATTTACTAAGCTTAGAATATTCTTCCTGCTATTTCTGTTCTGTATATCCTCATATTTAAAATATATTTAATATATTTGCTTTGTTTCTCCTCTGCGAAGCATTCCCAGAAGATTTAAATTTGTATCTATGGTGAGTTGCACCTCTCCTTGACCATTAAAAGTTTTTCTGCACAAGACTGTTACTTTTCAAATATGTGTACTTGTGCATTTTGGAAAAAAAAAAGCAAAATATTATTATTTTCATCCTCCAAGTACATCAGACTGACCTGCACATACTGGACAGAGCAAAGGGACTATGTTGGTCAAGGTTGTGTAATGATTTCCTATCTACTGGGCAAAGAACAGAAGAAAAAAAGAGTGTCCCTAGGGGAAAAAAAAAAGGAAGAAACAAAAAAGGGTAATATGGGAGGCGGAGGAAGAATAATTCTAACTACTTCCCAAATTCCCCAAAGAAGCCAGCTGGGATGAACTCTAAATGTATGAAGTAACTGTAAAATACCAGGAGCTTACCTCCTCAGTAAGTTATATTCTCAAAAAAAAGCAGGTGTTTTGAGGTTGAGGGCTGTATTTTGTTGTTGTTTTTTCATAACACAGATGGGTCCATACCATCCAGTCCTGCCCCAGCCCCACTGCACAGTCAACACACAGAGATGTTTAAACATAAAAGAAAATATTTACCAGTCCATAACACACCAAAGTTCCTTCATATTGTTTTGAAGAATGGTTCCAGTAAGACCTATGCGAACATGGCATTTTAATGACTTCATGGTTTGAGTTATTTGAGCCTTTGGATTCTTGATTCTGTGTGCTTCATCCACTATCACAGCAGACCACTCTATACTGCAGATCAAAAAAAGATTTCATTAATTGACACTACTTGTCCCATCATCCCACATACATACAAAAAGTGAAGCCAGCCACACGAACAGCTGTGATTATAACACATTATTACTTTTTGATTTCTCTGTTTTGCTACATAATATCACTCCATTTCCTTATATTGTTTGTTTAGTAAATTAAATTAACATAGTTGAACATAATGGCTAAACTACATCATCAAATAAATAACCTCCTGTTTCCTGTATCAAATGCTTTCTGTGAACAAAGAAGCTTTCAATCTGTGGACCAATAATCCAGCATATCTCACTAAAATTAACTCCACTCATAATTAAGATTTATGAAAAATAAGTAAGTCTCTGTAGGTAAACTACCGAAATATACTTAACATAGGTATACTTCATTTTACCAACAAAAATTATCCAAGGCAAATACCAGTGAACTGAAAACATTTCAATCTGCATGGTTTCCTACAGTAAAGTATCACTCAAGAAAACATATACAATACCAATATAGCAAAGGAATTTTAATATTTTGGGATTGTGATGACAAGGAACTTCACTATAAGCAGTAACCAAAAGATATTTTGCAGCCAATTCAAGAATAAAACTTAGGGGTAGAATGACCTGTATACTGAGATAATAATAAAGAAAGACTTCAAGTCCTTAGGAAGAGATTTACTAACTTTATTAATTAAATTTATATATATGAATATTTCAGAACACAACCATATCCAGATTGATATGCTGCAAAAAGCTGAAGCAGACATGTTTAGAGATGTTTAGTAGAAAATATCTCCTGAGCAAGCTGCATTTAGTTCACTAATGAAGGCTATCTTGTAGCATTTTTGCTAATCACTAAATACATTCATTCATGTTCAAGTTCCTACGCTCCCAAAATATGCTAAAAATTGGAGTTTCTGAAAAGCCTAACGGATGTTCATATCCTAGCTCCTTCCACTTAAATCTCTCATACTGATTTACATGCATAACTGAGCATATATATCCTTATTCCTGACAGCTAATTACTTAAGAGCAGCTTTTGAGGCCAATCCATCACTGTATTGAAGCAAGACACAAAGCTTCTCCTGGTGTCAAGATCACAGGCCCATCCAGTCACATCCTGCGCAGAAACAGTTTGATAATCTGCATGTTGAAGAAATGTATTTGTAGTCACATATTAGATCTCCTCCACACATGCACCTATTCCCTGCCCACAGTCCAGTCCATGATCAAGCATGAAGAGTTCTTCAGAAAGAACACAAATCATTTATAACAACTTTATTCTTCTATCTGTACTTCTCTATTCCCTGTACTTCAGACCTGAGCACAGAAATGAAGATCTGATTGTTTTGATGATGGATCTCCAGACAATTAAGGTACCCTCTGGGGCCTGGACCTTTCCCAACACCTGAAATGCCAAGATCTGCAGATCCACTTATATCAGCTGCTGAGGGCAAGGTGCTACCACCAGCCACTGACACAATTCATACCCTACTTTCAAGATGACATAGGGGAAAAGGACGTTTAGGATTGGATAAGAAATGTGTGGGTTTAAATCTCAAAGCTTTTAGGGTTCAATAATCTCATCAAGCTGGTGAAAAGAGCAAATAACAAGGAAAATACCTTTTTGAGCATTTGCTAAAAATTCCAGGTGATTGCTCTCCTTATACTGACAGACAGAAATACTTTCTAAGTATCTTTTAGCAGTCATCAGGTTCCAGGCAGGCAAGTCCAGCATCTTTCAGAGAACATTTCGTAAGTGTGTTACCAGCAACGACTGGTTTCATTCAAACACTTACTGCTACAAGTGTCCCATTACAAAGACAGTTGCATTGAGTCTGTCTGAGATGGAGTTGATTTTCCCACAGCAGCTCTCACTGGTCTGTGGGTAGCTGGAAAGGTGTTGATAACACACCAGTGCTTTGGCTGCTGCTGAGCAGTGCTGGCACAGCATCAGTGCTGTCTCTCAACAATCCCCCCATATCAGCAGACTGGGAATGGGGAAGATCCTGGGAGGGGACAAAACCTGGCCCACTGACCCAAACTGACCAAAGGGATAACTCATCCCATATGGTATCAGCTCAGATACAAAAGCTAGAAAAGGAGGAGGAATGGGGCATTTGTTATTTATGATGTTTACTTTTCAGGGCAACTGCTACAAGTGCAGAAGCACCATTTCCCAGGAAGTGGCTCAACGCTGCTAGCTTATGGGAAACAGAAAACAAACCTCTTCTTCCCCTCTTTGTTTGTGCATGCGTAAACTTTTGCTTTAGTAAACTGCCTTATCTCAACTGAAGAGCTGGTTTTTATCTTAATTTTTCTTCCCTGTCCAGCTGGGAAGAGACTGATAGAGTGGCTTGGTGAGCACCTGGTGTCCAGTCAAGGTCAACCCACCAGAACTCTACAGGTTAAACTCAGAAGTACAGGATAAATTCAGTAGTACAGGGATTCTTCTCTGCCGCGCAGTGAGTCAATGGATTTAACAGCAAATATGTTGTACGGAAAAAAGTCCTTGAAAAGAACAATGCACGATTAGACAGTTAAAATTCAGTGTGTACAAAAACATATTAAAACTATTACCTGTTAAATTCATCCAAATATAGGCGAAGCATCTCATATGTTGTAAGAGCAACTTCAAATTTCCCTTGCTTGATGCGACTCAGGTCATCATCTTTTTTACTGCCATGTAAGACAGAGACTTTAAAGTAGCCCCATGTGTCTAACTCATCCTTCCAGTTGTACAGCACTGAAAGAGGGGCCACTATGAGGAAAGTCTGAAAACAAATATATATTACAGTATCACCAGAAAAAATACAACATAGCAATTTCTCAATAACGGAAGTCAAGATCTTAACTATTTTACTGCTCCGAGCAGTCTGACTGTTTAATTCTGCCATTTCAAAGGATGTAAGGAAAATATCTAAAGTTAATATAAATTCAAAAGTAATCAGTTTACACTGAGCAAGTATACAATGCATCATAAAAATACTGTCATACTAAAATTAAATACTAAAAAACACAATTAAATTATACGCTTAACAAATGCAGTAAGATATGAAACACTATCATTTTGTGTTGTCATAGCATCTGTGTATATATATATATTTGTAAAATGTTTTACAAATGGAGAAAATAAAAGGATGAAGAGGGTAAGCAGCTTCCTCAAATCCGTAAGTCTAGTCATCATGTGACTTGAAAACAGATAGTCCTGAAAAGAGTTAAAAAAATTAGGACAGCTCATACAATTCACTTAGTATCACAGGATAATAAAATCAAAGAGGTAGGAAGTGACCTTGGGACATTTTCAGTCCAACTTTTTAGTCAAAGCAGTGGCAACACTGACTTCAAACCCAAGCTTAGCCAACTGAGGTCTTCAAAATCCCATAAGGATGGATGGGGTCTACAACCTCTCTGTGACCTCATTCAACATTAAATGTCCTCAAAGTGACATTCTTTCCTCACATACAATCAAGAGCCAGAATCATTCCTACTTCTTTGCACATGAAGTGCTATCCCTTTACCCCTTCCTCTCAGCCTGTATTTCCTGAGGAAATGTATCCATTACTCACAGAGCAACAGTCACGTAACCCATTATGCCAGTCAAATTCTCTAACTATTGCAGCAAAATAACAATGGAAAATAGAAATCACATGGTTTCAGTAACGGGTAAAATTAAAATGATCTTCAGATGTGTCTTATTCACATAGAACTTTTACATGTATCTTTTATTTGCTGTCACTGTATTTCATTACCTAGATTACCAGCCAGACTTACTTCCAACATTATGACAGTCAATCAAGAAAACACAAGACATCACAAGGCTATAGGCATTACACTTTCCAAAAATAGGGATTTGTCTTAATTCAATACCCTGTTATTTAGACACACGTTTTTTTTACTTTAAAAATATCATCACAAAACACTAATTTTCTACTCACTGAGTTTTTCAATGTACTCTAGCCACAAATCTAACCCAGACACCTCCAAATGTTTTCCATTCGTGCAGGTGAACAGTAGTAATAGATTAGACAATAACAACTAGAGAGAGAGAGAGGGGCACTATGGCAGTCTGGAAAACAGAAGGCTTCTCAAACACTACTAGGACAGGCATGAAATCCGACTTCAGCAGCTGAATTTTAAAATTTAATGTACATAAACTCCTAGACCAAACAAACAAACAAAAAAACCAAACAAATCCAAGTATTGTCTTTCATCAAAATCCTTAAGTTAGTATCTCTAAAAGTTGTACCTTCTTGGGGTTACAATCTGAGCCCTTTTTCATTGTCCGCAGCAAAAACTCCGGCATATTATTTTCAATATCCTCACGTGTTCCCTTTTTGTGCAATACTGCAGCCAAAAATGAAATGACCTTGAGAAAGAAAACAATTCTCAGTAACTATGTAAAATAAGAAATTGAATGAATTCCACAAAAAATAAACATTTAGGACAAAATCCTGGATGGGGCTCTGGAAGGTGGTTTGGTCTAGCGGGGGCGAAGATTTTTTTCTGGGGGGTGCAGCAGTGGGTGTTTGTTGGCTATAAATAAATCTGGTTTTAAAATGGGACCCCTCCCGCCTCTGGATTCCCAAGAACTCCTTGAACTAATGATAAGAGCAATTAATTGCTCTATCTCAGTCCTTTATTCTTTAAGTGGAAATGTCACAAAAATACACAAGAGACAGAGCCAGGAAAAAACAGATGAGGTTTGTCTTGCAACTCTCCTCCTTTTCAGGGTACTTGAATTTCAGATCAGAAAACAGAAGGAACAGATATCCTCTAACTATCCTCTCAACTTTATTTCTGCAAATGGAAGAAGAGGCTTATCCTACAGGTTTGTTTTTTACTAATACACCTTTTTCTGTATGTTCCATTCTTTCGAATTCCTGTTCTTGACATCAAAACCATGTTCCTCCTTTTGTGTCATATTCTCCCATCTGCTTCAAACCAGTCAAGGTGATTATGAGAACACATTTATTACAATATACCACAGCAAGGACAAACATCCCAGCACAGGCTATTCCAAACTACTCCTATCATGTTCCAAAACAGGAAGAAGGTAGAGGAAGATCTGGCCAGAAAATGCAAATTAAAAATTCACTTGGGATAAACAGTATCCATGGACTAAGTAGCAGCAAAGACCAGGTGCATCATCAGAGAGGTGCCCTTCTTTTGAAATCTCACATTGCTGGCTCATATCCAGCTCTCCACCCACAAGAATCCCCCAGTCCCCCTTCTCAGGGCTGCTCTCTACAACTCCCAGTTTGTATTCATGTCTGGGAGTGTCCTAGCCCAGGTGCAGCACCTTGCAGTTGGACTTATTGAACTTCATAATGTTCTCATGGGCCCAATTTTCAAGTTTCTCCAGGTCCCTTTGGATGGCATCCCATTCTTCTGTTGTGTCAACTGCACTGCTCAGATTTGTGTCATTTGCAAACTTGCTGAGATTGCACTCGATCCCACTGTCTGTGTCATTGAGGTAAACATTGCAGAGCAGTGCTCTCAAAACAGAGCCTGAGGACATCACTCATCACCAGCCTCCACCTTCTTAAAATGAAGCATCAGCTAACAGATGATACAAATCTTCATACAAATCCATGATACACCTCTAAATGCTCTATGCAGAGTTTTGACAGCTTAGTTTACCCGCTCCTCTTGTTAAGTTTGCTACAGGACAACACTTTTGTTGTGCTGAAAGACATCTATCAACATTCTCCTAAAAGGAAAGACAATAGGTACCACAACCAATACCTGTGAGCGAAGAAATGAACTTGCACTGGACACATGGAGCAGGACAAAATAGAGTGGGACAAAAAGTATCTCCCACAGAACTCAAACCACTCACTTTAAATCAGACAGACTGTAGAGAATTTCCACACATAAAATCACCTTAATTATAGCAAAGCAAGTAAAGAGCAAGTAATGAGCAAGTAATGAGCAAGTAATGAGCAAGTAAAGAGCAAGTAAAGAGCAAGTAACTAAAAAAATAAGTAATTTAGGTTGGATGCAAATTCCAGATTCAAAGCATAATGAAAAAAATCCAGCTACACTTTATCCTCTCATCAATCAAGCTGCATTATTAAAAAAGTGATGGAAGTAGCATGGAATACCAAAGCACTATTTCCAGAGATGGGAGTGAAAGTGTCAGTTCTTTTGCATTCCCAGAACAGTGAAACTGTTTGTTTTCAGAAAAAAAGGAAAAAGGTATTTTAAACGCAAGAGTCACATAAGGGTCTCAAGTTCTTTTAGTGTACTCCAGTGCAAATTGCTTTCATGACAGGCAGGTAGCAATCCTCAAAGTAAATACACTACCATTTTAACTATCATAATTACTCGTGCTTATACTAAAAGGAGTCACATCCCAGTTTTATGGCCTGTAAGGAGTGAGTCTTAAATCAGAAACGCACTCCTGGCTCTGAGCGCTGTCCTGGGCATCATGTCCTGCCTCATCCATCTCAGCAACAGCAGAGGGAGGTTTAAATTTCATAAAAACAATGCTTTTAAAAAAAAGATTTACAGATCCCAGAAAATACTACCTCCTCCCTCAGTAACAAACAAAAAGAATACCTGTATTGTCTTTCCAAGGCCCATATCATCTCCAAGAATACACCCTCTTTTATTAGCATAGTGTCTATACAGAAACTGGGCTCCTTCCCTTTGATAATCACGCAGGTATCTGTTAATTGTATACGGGATAAAATCGCCATTGTCAGATAATTTAAAAGCAACTCCAGGAGATGGAAGATTTTGGTCAGGAAAATATGGCTTTTCCAGATCACCTTCATCAAATATTAAGCTTTTCCAGGATCCTCTACTGTCTTTGACTTTACAAAGTTTTGTTATTAGTATTTTCCTTTCTTCAGACTCCAAGAATGATACAACAGCAAATGATTTTCCATTCTTGTCCTTTTCAAGAGAAGTTATTGTTCCTTCATGAAGTTTTCCATTTTCAAAACAAGGGGCAAGGCATTTCTCCCCAATACGCCAATGATCTATAAAAAAACCAAACACACATAGTGACAAGCTGGCCTGATGTACAAAGTATTTAATTTCTTCACAATTAAAACAATGGATATAAATTTAGTTTACAAAATTCATACAACTCTCTAGAAACACTTTATTGAAGGTAGCACTAGAATCAAAACAGCAATTACTGTTTACAGCTAGACATAAAATTACAGTTTGCTCTAACACCACTATTTTAGAAATAACAGAATGTGTATAGGAAAAAAAGCAAAATCCAGGTTCTGATGCATTAAGTTAACACAGTGGCTTCACACAGGCAAACACACAAAGTGGAAAGACCTCACATCGCACTGGCAATGAAAAATAATACAAGATACCTCTACTAAGAAAAACAAGATCTTCACTCTTCACAGTAAAAAGATCTCACAAATAATGGCTCCACACAAAGTTTTCCAAATCCCAACTGATAGAAAAAGGGATGCTCTTTTGAGTTTGCAGAAACAATTTCTAATCTTCCCCCGCTCAGTCATACTAAAACAAAGGGATGATTTGATTCATTTCAGAACCTTTATTGTTTCTTATCTATTTGCTGGAGTGATTTTGATACTTACAAGAAAGTAATTATCAATTATCATGAGATGCACCTTATTTATAGGAAGGAGTGAGCCAGGGAGAATCTTCCACCAGAGCAAGTATTCATCATTCTATGACCAGTGGTGGTATATATTCCTGGACACATCAACCCAGACATTTTTCACAGGTAAGGAAAAAAGTTCTGAAGGCAAGAAACTCCACCTTAGCCTATTTTAATGTCTCTGTGTAAAAACTGCAAGAAGACTCACCAAGTTCAGAGCACCTAGAAGCATACACTTACAGGATAATGTCCACAATGTATTAGTTAAATCAATGATAACCACTAGTCATTTACTAAATTTATTTAATTATATACACTTAGAAAAAACAAAAGCCTCCATATAGCCAAGCCCACTATTCTGCAGCTAGCATTAGCCCTAAGCTGATGTGCAGGTAACAATAAAACTAGTACAAGCCTACAGAACATCCTTATTCCAAAATTCTTTGGCCTCTAAAATATTATTTTAGTTACAGAGATTGCATGGGCCACAGGTAGTTTGTCTGGTTAGCAAATACCAACAGACTCACTCTTTCAAGTAGCTCCACTCCCCTTTCAACACATGCAGATTCCTAGAATTTGGTGACTTCTGACTAAAAATATTGTGGGTCTGCTCTGGATACAGGTCACACTTTTTCCTGATATGAACTTCGATCCAAAGACCTAAATTGATGGCCCACCAGTTCTTACACTAACAAGATCATAAACCAAAGTCTCTCCCTTCAATTCACTATTTTGCAGATCTCTTTAATAATGGCCCCATCATCCCTTTTTGGAGTTCAGCCCCACACCTTGTGACCTGCTACATAAGCTGCTCCAAGACTCTCAGCCATTCCCTCAGACCTTCTCAAAGACTTGAAGCTGAAATGTAACTTTCTGAGGCAAAGGGTGAAATACAGGCTGTGTATTCAACAAATCATACATAATTAATCCTTAAAGTTCATGGTATTTGTACACATCTCTCATCTCAATGTAAAAAAGACGAGTACATTAACTTCTTCCAGTAGTATCTAATTCTTTCTGCAATTTCATGAGAACAGGAACCAAAACTGAAAAACTGAAACCAGCTACGTTCAGCACACTGCTATATATGCAAATCAAAGTGCTACAGAGCACTTCTGTAGTTCCTTTTTTTTACAGCAGTGAAGGGACATGCAACACGTTCAGAAACTCTCAAGTTAAAGCCATTATTTAAGACGACAGAGTTTTTGTTTTTAACAAAGCTTTTACTTGAGGCTAAGGAGTTGCATACGGATCCTCACAACTACAGTTCAGGTGCAGAGTGGAATAAATTACACTGGGCAACAGTACTAGTGTTACTAAACTCCAAACTGTGAGAAGCAGGGAACAGAATGAGAAAAAGGCTGAGACATGAAATGGTATAAAGAACACCATTGCTGCAAAAGGCCAGAAAATAATGCTGTTAAAGCCAAAGCATGAACTGCTTAGTTTAACTAGCCTGATTCACCAAGTTCTTGGCTTCTGAATTAGAACCATAATTTATGTGGATCAGTTTTTAAAAATAAAGACAATTATCTAACACGGCTTCCTAGCATGGGTACAATACATTTGCCACCAATGATGAAAGCTGGTATTTAAGATGCTTACCTGTACTTACGCCTTTTACTACAGGTGGAAAAAATGTGCCACTGTCAACTTTGACTGTACTAAATCATGGTGGTAAAGGCCTCCTGTCATACACTAGCTCCTTTCAACCACTACTCCTCTATGAAACTATGTCGAATGCCTTCTAACTAGTGAGGGCTGACAACCTAATTTAAAATGCAAGGTTTCGTTTTCCTTTCGTTTAATTTTTTTTTTGTTTTTACACTCTAATAAATGACTGTAAAAACAGAATTCGAGGATATTGTAGAGCAAGACACATGGAAGACGCTTACCTGGGACACCATCACCACACATTTTAACTTTTGGCCGTGCAAAGCCCGACGGGGGCCGCGGGCGGAGGCAGCGGGGGCGGAGGGGCACGGGCGCGCTGGGGACCCACCGCCGCCCCTCCGCCGGGGGGGTCACGGCGGTGCAGGCGCCGAGGGAGCGGCCGGGGCGCCTCAGGCGCCGTGGCTGTCCCCGCTGCCCGCACCGCTGCCCGCCCCGCGACCGGCCCCGAGCGCCGCAGCCGCGCAGACCGAGCCCGCGGCCGGGGCCGCACGTCGGCCGCGCATCGCCCCGCCCCGCCTGGCGCCGGCAGCGCCGCGCGGGTATCGCGAGAAGTGCGTTACCATGGTGCTCGGTGCTCAAGGGCGCCGGCGGGAAATATCGCGAGATGTTTCGGCGGGGCGGCGACTGGGTCGCGCTGCCCGACGGAGCCGTGTCGAGTTCTGTCCTCGTCAGGGAAGGGGAGGCTTGGAGCTCTTGGAGTGTATCCAGCACAGGATTAGGAAGCTGATTAGGGGGTTTGGGAGGATTTCTTTTGTGAGGACAGGCTGAGGGAGCTGAGGGAGCTCTCAATGTTGATAAGAGATGGCTGAGGGGACCATATCAATGTGTATAAATACCTGAAGGGAAGGTGTCAGAGGGTGGAACCGGGTTCTTCTCAGTGGTACCTAGCAATAGGACAAGAGGCAACGGGCACAAACTGATGCACAGAAGTTCCACCTTAACATGAGGAAGAACTTCTTTACTGTGGGCAGGTGACCATGCACTGGAACAGGTTGTCCAGAGAAGTTGTGGGGTCTCCTTCACTGGAGATACTCAAGAACTGACTGGACACAATCCTGTGGAATATGCTCAAGGATAACCCTGCTTGAACAGGGAAGTTAGACTAGATGATCCCCTGTGGTCCCATCTAAGTTTAACCATTCTGTGATTCTGGGCAGCAGGGGTAAAGAGATCTAAAGTTATTCTCTGCAAAAAAAAAAAAAAATTGGAGAGGTGAGGAAGCAGGACAAAGAGTCGATGCAATGGAAGGCAGAGCTGGCGCAGTGCAGAGCAGCCAGCTGAGTGGAGATGATGGGTGCTGAGAGCCAAGGATCTGATATTTGGGAAGAATCAAAATCAAGAAAGACCCACTTGTTTACAGCCATTCCACCTCCATCCATGAAAACCGCTCTGCTTTCAGGGGAGCTGAACTGGACACAGTTAGATTTTGCAGATTGTGAAGGCAGTGAGTAGCAATTACCCGGTTCTTTCTGGAAAGAAAAATGGGTCCCACCAAGAAATCTATTCAGATTGACTCATATCTCAGTAGCAATGCAATGGAGTATTACATGAACAGTATGGCTTCCCAGATCCTTGCTATTATTTTGACAAAACGCCTTTACATGCATTTAATTGCACTATACTAATTTCACTTCTGAAAGTTAAATGCTTATGTGTAAGGAGCATGTAAGATCTGTTTTTAAATCAGCTTTGATTTTTAATGCAGAAGACGAGGTATTTTGGATGATTTCTCCATTCCTTTTAATTATCTTTCAGTTTATATAATTTTGGTGAATTTATAGAAGGGATTGAACATCAGCAGTAAAACACCTATATTCTTTCGGCATATGCCACAAAATTCTGTACAATTAAGATGGATAATGAGACTACCTAATCAAAATTCTTCATCCTACAGTATTTTCAGAAGCAGGACAAAGCAGGAGATACAGTCTCCATGCTGTTTCTGCTTGCAGCAAACATGCAAAAGGCTGCCTTGCCTTGTTTGCTCTAGGAGTAATACAGACTTGTGCAGCCTAGGGCAGCATTCATTTGCTTCTTTGTCTGCTATTAGCCAGAATTTTGTTCCAAAAGAGGTTAATGAAAGATGGGTGATGGTTGCTCAGCCACTTAAACTAGACTAATAGGAAAATAGCAAGCATGAAAGCACTATGTTAGTGCTATGTTAGAAAATTCCACTGTGAACTACGTGAGCATTGAGCACCCCATACATTACAGGAGGCTGCTCAGAAATAGAGAATAATATAGTACCAATGCTACATTATTTTTAAAAAGTGTGTAGTCATGCGTTCATTCCAAAGAAAGATGAAGGAAACTATGCCAACCACAAAAATATCCCAAAACTGAAAGGAGTGGCATGCCAGATTTTAAAATTCTCACTGAAGAAACATGTGTAAACTGTACAAGACTTCAGGTACATAACAGACCTTGATCCTGAGAGCATCTTTAAAAAAGGAGCAAGAATATAGGTTCTGATTCTAAGGAAGCTTTAAAAATGTATTGTGTTTGAAGATAAATGTGTGTTTATTCTACAAGGTTGCATTTGGTTCTTATGAAGCTGTTTGTGCTTAATAAGGACTCTGATGCAGGCTTGAGCTGCTGTTTTACAGTGACAAATTTGGTATTCTGCCTTCATGAAATAAAACATAAGAAAAGTTAAATTCTTTCTTAAGCACTGCAATTTCTCTGATAAAAAAGGCAGAAAAATTCTACATACAGTTCAAGGATCCATTGTGCTTCTATGTCAGTGATAAGACCTTGATGGCTTAGCTGGAAACAGCATTTCACCTGAAAATCCTGATGAAGTCATTAGGATGAGTCTTCCTTACGTTTAGGGACACACTTGAAGCTTTTCCATTCAGGAGAGAGAACAAAGGGAGAAAAGCACTCTTAACAGGAACAGCAGGGTGGCTGTATGTCAACAGGTAGTTTTCTTTTTACCTTTAATGTTTCTCTTGCCAGCTACAAGCAGTTTCTGTATCTTTACTTCACTTTGAAGAAGAAGCTAGAAATCAAGCTGACTCACTGAGATTAGGACTTCTTTAGTGCTATCCCGTGTTTGGACTGGGCCCATAATGAAAATGTATCCCAAGGCCAGAGAATATTTAGCTCTGTCACATATCTTTAAAAGTTTTTGGAAAATGTAAGTCTTTTCAGGAATCTTTCTAGCACAAGATAGAAGTTATTTTCTGGGATGTCAAAAAATAACTCACATTGTGTTTCCTCGGGAAAAGATTTGTAAAAGATTTCATTTTGAAAAGCTGTTGCCATTACTGAAAAGTTGAATATATCCAAACTCTATATTAAAATTTGAACTCTCTTCATATCTGACTTAGTTTACATTTCGTAAGAGAAGTGTTAGGCTAAGATAACAACCAAAGCAAATACCATAATGGGGATAAGCACTTTTTAAATATGTGCTATATCCCTGAAAGCATTTCACATGTAACATTGTGGCCTTCCTGTTCACTCTTCTTTGACAGGGAGAGGAGACAAATTAACTGATGTGCATCTGAAAAGGGCAGCTTGGTTACAGCATCCTCCACATCAGTATGTCTGAAAACACAGCAAGACTGATTCTCAGATACACTCAGCATTTGAAAGCCTAATCAAAACCCACAGAAAGTACAGGCACCTAGAATTCTTTTAAATGTCAGTTGTTCAATCCAATATTAGAATATAAAATATAGGAGAAAAAAGAGGTGGTTCAATTAATTGGCATTAACTAAGCTTGATAGTATTAAAAGTGCCACAAAGAGGAACTTCACAATGTGATATTCACCAAATTAAGATATTGGAAAGCCTTTTGCACCTTCAACAGTTTATTAGCCACAGTGTTTTAAACATTACCCATCAACAGTATTCAAGAAGCTCTCAGAGTTCTTCATGAAAATGAGCATGACTGGGTGTTCTGAATCATATCCATACCAAACAAAGAGAAGGCATTAGAGCCCCGGTGTGCAGCTGCAGGGCCACAGTTCCTCCTTGTGATCATAGAGATGTGGAGGGATAGCTCACACAGCTGAATGCCACAGTGGGCTGATGTGGGCAGGATTTAGAAAGGACAGGTCAGGACAGTAGGAGCAGATTTGGCCTTTTATCTCAGACAGCAGCAGGGATATGTGGAGCTCTACGTGGTGGTCTGTAGAGACCACAAGATGTTGGAGTCCAGGGTCTTGAGAGAAGGGAACAAGGCAAATCTAGTAGTAGGATCATGACCCTGAACTTCAGGAGTTTGCTGGCTTAGGCATTAGGGGAAAGCAGTATATGTTGTTCATCTTGATTTCAGCAATGCCTTCATTCTTTTCTCCTGGAGCATCCTTAATATACAGGCTGATGAAAAATGGACTATGTAAATGAGCAGTGAGGTGGTTGAAAGCAGGCTGATCTTGTGGACTTAAACGAGTGTCATCAGCAGCACAAAGTCCAGCTGCACTCCCATTACTAGTGTATTATTTTGGGGTATGATTCTGAGGCTGGTACTGGCCATTAATGACTTGGATGGTGGGACAGAGTGCATCCTCAGCAAGCTAACAGATGACACTCAGTCGAGAAGAGTGGTTAACAAACCAAATACTCGTGGTCTCATGCAAGGTGGGGGGTGACATGCTGGAAAATGGGTAGGTAGTAATCTCATGAAGTTCAACAAAGTCTCATGCCAGCAGTCAAATAACCCTGCACTATAGACTGGAGGTTGACTAGTCGGAAACCAGCTTTGCAGAAAAGGGCTTAAGGGTCCTGGTGGACATCAAATTGTCCATGAACCAGCGGTGCATCCAACAGCATGGAAGGCCAACAGCATCTTGGGCTTTGTTAGGAAGAGCACTGCTCAGCAGCCCAAGGGTAGCTCATATCTCTCCACAACAAGAAAAACTTGAAGATAGTGGAGAAAATCAAGGCCATGAAGTTTAAGAGATTGTAGTTGGAATTGTGTAGGCTTGAGAAAAGTTTTGGGAGGTCTTGTCTGTGCACAAACATTTCATGAGCAGGTAGTAAAAGGATACTTTGCTCAATGGTTCCCACAGCAAGAGGCAGCAGGTGCAAACTGAAACAGGAAATGCCATTTAGAGATAAGGAAAAGCTTTTCAGCTGGGGGAGTGGCCAAACACTGCCACAGTTTGCTGAGAAAGCTAGAATCCACATCCTTGAAGAGAGTCAAAACTCATCTGGACACAAGCCTGAGCAACCTGCTTGAGGTGATCCTACTTGGAGTAGGCATATTTGGGCTAGATGTACTCTAGGGCCTTCCACCCTTGGTCATTCTGTGAGTGAGGAATTGTGCAGGTTAAACTGAGTTCTGGTTAAGTACTTGTGCTATT